CCACCACGATCATCATCCCCCCCCCCCCCCCCCCCCCACCCACCTACCCACCCACCGCGCCACCGCACACCGAAAGGCTGCCGTGACCGCCGCCCCCGACAAGGGTAAGGCGAATGCTGCTTTGTGTCTCCTGATCTCGGACACGCTGCGCGTGCCGAAGACATCAGTGTCCCTGGCAGCCGGCCACACCAGCCGCAACAAGGTGGTCCGCATTGAGTCCTCCATGCTCCCGGACAGGCCGACCGCTCCGACTGAGAGCAAGAAGAAGGCCTCCTCCTCGGGCGGCGCGGGGAAGAAGGGATCCGGCAAGGACGTTGTGCCCACCTTCTCCCCGGAGGAGCTTGAGCTATGCCAGCGGCTGGAGAAACTCCTCCGATAGGAGGGTCTCCGCTCTGCCGTGCTCCTTTTCTTGCCTCCCTTTCTTGTCTCCGCCCGATTGGGCCTTCAAGCTCCCGTCGTTGGCACGCCTGGGGCAATTCTGACCCTTCCGCACACCATGAAATACACCGCATGCGTGCTTGGCTGTGGCATACACACCACGCTCTTCCCCTCTTCCTCCCCTCGCGCGCGCTCTCCTCCTCTTTCTGGAAGGTGGGGCCTCCTCCGAATGTGTATGTATGTTTTTGTGTGTCCCGATCCCTGGCCATGTCAGTCTCCGTGTGCGCGTGTGTGCGTGTGTGCGTGTGTGCGTGTGTGTGTGTGTGTGTGTCAACTCAGGAGGCGCCCTTGTGTCGGATGCCAGTCCTCTTTCCCGGGTTCTTTTGGGCACCGAGCCGAGCCTCCTGTCTGGCGGCGTGCCAGGCACCAAGCCATTCGGATGGACGTCTGGCCCCGTACGATCGACGACCCGACCCCAGCCAAGTGCCAATGCATAGCCGCGAGGCCCTTCGCCGATCCGTGCCCTGCCCGGGTCCATGCAGCCAAGTCTGGGAGTAGAGGGGGGGGGGGAGGGGCGCGGGTCGGAAGGATGGCGGATGAGCAGCTGCCCCGATCTCCTCCCACGTCCGGGAGAGGCTGCCCAGCGCACACCGCGTGCGTCCCCTCCCCACGGCCAAGCGGCGCACGCCCCTGGGATTGGGACTCATTCAGTGGCACCACGGCGACCCTCGGATACAGTGGCGAGCAATAGATCTACCTCCTCTGCACAGGCCCTCCCTCCCCTCTCCCCTGGCATCGCTCTAGCTGCTGCCCTCCCCCCGCCTCCCCCCCCCCCCCCCCGGAGGGCCTCGGACCCGGCACACCCCTTGGTGAATTGCCCAGCCACAGGGCCGGCGGGCCGCTGCCGGCCACGCCCCCTCCCCGGAAAAGGCGGCCACAACGCGCCACGGCTCGAGCAAGATAGGCACTTGGCTCTTTCTGGGTGCCCCCCGCCCTGCTGGCGCGGGGGGGACACCCGTGCCCTGGGGCGCGCCCAGGCCCCCCCCCCCCCCCCCTCCCCTCCGAACCAGGACGATGCGCCCTGGCTCCGGCTCCACGCACCCGGGCCTCACCTTGGGCGGCCTGCTTGGCTGCCCCACACCAGCCGGCTTGACCGAGAGCCAGGCGGCTCCGACCATCAATGGGACCCCCTTCGCCCAATCGCGGGGCTTTTCCCTCCCCCCGCGGGCCGGACTGACTCTGGCCACGGATGCGCTGCCCGCCAGCGCCGAGTGCCTCGTGCACGATTGGCTTCTGTGGAGCCTGCAAAATTTGGCGGCCCTCGGCCAACTCCGAGCGGCGGCCAAGCGCGCCGGCCAGCCCGTGCACCCGGGTTTCCTGCTGGCTACTCACCCCCCGGTGGAGCGGGTGGTCCTGGTGACGCTGGAAAGCTCGCTGACCACCTTTGCGCTGGTGGCCCGAAAGCGCGTATGTACATTGACTGCGCCCGCACGTGCTCCACCTCTCGTCCACCTCTTCAGCACTCGCTCTCGCCCCACTGATCCTCTCTCTCTCGCTCTCTTTCCCTCTGCCCTCCCCCTCGCGCCTCCGTCTCCCTGCCCCCCTTGGCCGTCTGTCCCCCCAGGGTATTGACTTGGCCCAGGCCGTTCGGACGGGCGATTTGGTGGTGGTCGATCCACTTAGCGCGCAGTCTTGTCGGTGCCGCGACTGCAGCCAGTCGCCCTTCGCAGCGCCCGGCGCGCCGGCCACCGATCTGACGGTTCCCTTCAACATGGACACATGTGGCTGCGGGCCGGCTGGGCTAGATCGGCTGGGCTGTCTCCTCGAGACCTTGGCGCTGGATGATGCGCCAGGCCAGCCGGGAACCAGCCCTCGGCCGGCTGGTCTCGGGCCCGGGCGCGCTGTGATCATTTTCGACTCGCTACTGCCACTGATGGCGCAGTTCGGCGCCGAGCCGCACCAGGTGATGACCCGACTGCTGGGAAAGCTGCTTGCAGGCCGTCCGGGCCACACGGCCACTCGAAGGGTCTCCATGCTGGCTCGGCTGCCGGCCGATGCGGCATTGCTAGCCCCGCGGGTGGCCCTGACCACGGCCTCGGCCAGCAGCTTGGCCTTCGGTTACAATGAATTGGTTCGGGCCCTGGCTCGTCGGGCGCAGCTGGTGCTGAGCGTGCGCGGCCTGGACACCGCCTCGTCGGTTGGGGATCTGGCCATTGATGGGCGCCTGCGCGTGACTCGTGCCCCGATGGCTGCCCTGTCGGATCTGCTGTTTGCCGAAAGTCCCTCCACACATGGCTCGCAGCAGGGCCACCCTGAGGCCGATCCAATGGCGGCCTTCCATCGGGCCGCTGATCAGCAGGACCTTGCGGCTGCCGGAGTCAGCGAGTTCCTGTTCCGCGCGTCCGACCAGGCAACCGGCGCGCTACTCACGCGTGTTGGTACTCAGCGCTAGTCCTCCTGTCCAAGCGTGCCCTCCTGGCCCGGGGGTCGGACCTGGGGAGGTGGGCGGGGTGGGGATAGGGCCGCCAATGAATTTTGTTTCTGCGTTCCAGGAGCTCGGCTTGCTATCTCAATTTAACGGGACAGGGGGCGGGAAAGAGAGACAGGAAGAAAGAGAGCAGGAAAGGGCGAGAGAGGGAGAGAAAGTCAAGCATGTGTGGGGGACATCACAACAAGCGCACCGCGGGCCGCGACCGTTCAGTTGGCAGTGGGGGTGTTTCTACTCGTGGACTAAGCCCTCTCGGGG